ACCATACACTGTTCAGGCTGCACCGACCTCACCTTTAAATGTCACTAATGCTGAGCGCACACGCTTCTGTAAAGACTGCAACGGCGCAAAATATGACAGGAAAAACTTCATGCATTAAAATGGTTGCCAAACAGTATAAACCCTCTCTTGGAGAAAATGGCGTTCGCTTTCCCCCAAGGCGAGATAGCTGTTTTTGCAGTTGCAGCAAGCCAACTATAAACTTACGCGCTGCGCAAAACAACCGCTTTCAAACAGATATTTCAGTGAACGCCGTATAAATATTTGAGGAATGAGGGTTAAACTCACCGTATAGATGACGCGCCTATAACAGTGGACTGAAAAACACGTTTCAAATTTTAATCCCAAAAGGATGCAGTGCGCTCGTGCTGATCAATAGATGAGCTCTCTCCGACAATCAAAACTTGAATGAGGTTTTGTAAATGGACTGCTCGGTTTTCCCTTGGGCTCGAGAGGCATTTGAATCTGGAAGCCCATTGGCTCCGAGCGCACGTCATTCACATCTCTAAACCAATGATTTGCGAGCATGACTCGAAATATGTATGAAGCGCTCAACGACCAATCGAAGCCTTGTTTGTCTTATTTTTATGAATGGCTGAGTTTCATTCACTTTCAAGATTTTTCCCCGCACTTTTCCAGGGGCTCTTAAAGGGCCAGAGAGCCAGAAGTAGAGTCGCCAGCAAAACACATCAGAAATTGGAGGACAGTTCACTAAAATCTATTTAATTAGCATATATTTAGACTTGGCTAAAACAAAGCTGAGTTGCACACAACGAAATAAAGGTAAATGAATATACCAATCAATGGTTATTCCATGTCTCAACAAACTTTCCAAACAGCTCATAATGTGAGAATAATAAACACTGAATATTCAACCAGAAAGGGAGGATTAGTTTGCAATGGATTCCCTGTGGAATTTCCTACAGGATTTTAGAATAGTACTTTTCAGTTTATAAGTAGAAAGAAATGTCTGTGGTTAACATAACTTGAAGAGACTTTAAGGTTTTGTTCTGCAAAATAAACTCAGAAAATTTAGTAAAAATCTAAAATAAAAAATAGGCAATGCAAGTCAATTAAAAAAATAATAATATAACATACTGATGATAAGTTTATTATTGTTGTTGTTCATAATTATTATTATTAAAGTTTTTATTATTATTATAATTTAAGTTGTTGAATAAAACATTATGTTAAACATGCCCAAACATACATTTTACTCAAAGTAAAAAGGTATATAATTAATATAACTATGAATTGATACAATATTATTATTTTTATCTGCTACACAATGAACTGCACAATCTTGTGATGTGCAAGGGATTTACAATGTATTATTGTGGTCAAGGCCAGATGTCCTAGAATCTATATTTAACAAAGCTGTTTCTGTGAAAAAGAGAGGGAGAGAAATTCTGCGTCAAGTGTGAGGAGGATAATCTTCAAAATCCTTCTGGCTTTCGAGCAGAGCCCACTTTCACAGGAGCACAATGATAGCATGAACAAGACGTGCAGTATGCAGTTACTGGTGTCATTGTTTCTCCTGCTTGACGCTGCTAAAGCTGGGCTTTTCAGCTCTGCCATGCTGTCAGGGTCTCCTTTTTATAGCACCTTTCACTAATGTGGTGGGAGGTGGGAAGGGGGTGACCAAGAGCACATTCTATTTCCATTATTCTGCTCCCTAAATCAAGAGTGGTGTTGACACAGGCATCAGCAGCACCCTTCTCTTTGATATCTTTCATTTTTTGGGACAAATATTGAAATGATCCGCTATCACTCACTCTGATAATGAGAAGGGCTTATTTGTGCACATGACAATAGAGTTAAATGAGGGGTGACGGACAGAGCAGCAAATCAGATTCCTATGTAACACACAGAAAAATCTAAACTTTTAAACCTTGTTATTGTACATAACCTATGTACTATGACTGAATACACCCAGAAAACTGTGTAAAATCAGCTTGGTACAGACAGTTAATGAAGTGGAATGAAGGTTAACGCAGCCTCGGGCCACTGGTGCTCTCCCAAAGAGAGACATGATGGGACTTGATGACTATTAATAGTTAATGGAGAGATAATTCCTGCTTCATTATCTCTGCACACCCAAGACGCGTATAGTTTCGCCCCAGCTCACAGCTTCTTGTTGTCATCTGCATTTTTCTTCTACAGGGCTGTATTTACAAGCGCAGAGGCCACAGGGCTGCCTGATGCAAACAAACAGTCATACAGCCTCACATGGCAACCATCTGATACTGTAAATGACACTGCAAGTATAGTGATAGTACACCTGAATTATCATGTACATGTACATATAAGATGCCCTCTTAATATTTGTTTGAGTGTTGCACTGTGTGATACACTGCTAGTGAAGAGAGTATTTAAAGGAATATTCTGGGTTCAGTAAAAGTTGAGTTCAAATGGCAGCATTTGTGGCATGATTTTAATCACCACCAAAAAAACAAAAAACAAAAAAAAAGATATTCCCCTCGATTTCTTTAAAAAAGGCAAAATCAGTGAAGCACTTACAATGGAAGCAAATAGAGTCATTTTTGAGAATTTATGCAGGAATGTGAAGTTAATTTTTATAAAAGCACATATTAATTCTTCTAGACGTTTTAAGGTTAACAAAATGTTTTCATACTAAAATCGTGTTAAGCTTGCTGTGAAAACCCCCTTTTGGAACCTTTATTTTTTTTAAGAGCATGGCATAATGTTGAGCTTAACTTGTAGTGAACCTGGATCATTTTTTTAAAATGTATTTCATGAATTCTACAGGATGTAATGTTTGGTTACACCACAATATTTATTATTTTTCTTCTTCTAAAAAACAAAACAAAACTAACACTGGCTTCTCTATTCTTTTTTTATTCTATTTTCTTTTTTATTTATTATACAATTAACAAAAGCAAAAAAGGCCTCTAACACTACCTTGCTCTATTCTTTTTCTATTCTGATTTTTTAAAATTTATTATATAATTAAAAAACCCTTGCTACGTGTACTACGTTAAGCTAACTGAGGCTTGTTATAACACTTGTGTATCATTGCTCTTTTGTTGATTTTGATTGCTTCCATTGTCCTCATTTTTAAGTCGCTTTGGATAAAAGTGTCTTCTAAATGACTAAATTCCAAAAGCGCACCTTTGTACCAAAAATCAAAACTTAGGTTGCATATTTGTACCCTTTGAGTATACTCCCCCAATTTTACCCCTAAAGGTACAATTTTCTGAGAGTCTAGAGGTCGTCACAAAATCTAGTCAGTACTCATTACAGATTCTCACTTCAGTGTGCAGGGTCAGCATAATGTACAGTATAATGGGAGAATAACACACCCATTACTTTGGAAAGATTGAATTAGAAAATCTGCCAATGTCTTGCAGTTGCATCATGGTATGATTGAAACTCAAGTGTGCAAGTCTACACAGATGCAATCATGACAGAAGGTGTTGTCTGAGAGATGGAAGCAAGTGCTAAAGTGCGCTGACATAAGGACTGAACTGTGTGGATCTTAAGTACCGTGCTAAAAGCTCACAGTATTTTCCCAGAGTGCCTCATATCATCAGCACAGGAGCACCGAAATCTGTGATTTATTGTGTGAACTGAAATTCAATCACGTTAAGTAGAGGATTGTGTCGGGCACCTTTGCTGGATGCGAGTAAGCATCCCGGCCGAGCCACCCAATGACCCACACCAGACGCAAAGCTTCAGTCTCTCCGTTTATTCAATAAAACTCTTTTGTCAATTAACATGGATGCCAACAGTTTACAAGAACCAGAATAACAGAGTCTAAGTGGGTCTTTCGAGGGCACGATTCACCCTTTAACCCCATCTCAGTCTGCAGGACTCCTGTCCTTGAACCTTGTTGCCTACCACACAGATGGACTGCTACAAACCACACTAACCCTAAAGGCAGGAATAAGACAGTGAGTTAAGCACACATGTAGAACATCACATTCAGGGTTGACATGGGCTCTACTGCATCAGTGGCGCTCAATACCGCTCATCTGTCCCAGCTAAGAATAGAGCTACACTGAGATAAGCCGTATTGTCTCTTCATATTTAAGTTCAGGATTCTGGCTCACTGTCCTTAAAAATCTTTCCTGGTTTGGTCTCAAGATGCCACGGTTGAGAACAAAATCGTATTCCTTTCCACTCATGAGTTTGAATTTGAATAGAATTTCCCACACCCTACATGAATTTGAATTGGAATGACAGGAAAAGGAATGTATTGAATTGTAATTAAAAAAAATTAAACAGTGAATGCATCCTGGAAAAATAATGTTCTTTCATCCATCCATCGTTCTCTGTCTGCGAGGCCAACAAACCCTCTATCTTCAAGACTTCTTGGCAAAACTTCCAAAAAAAGGCTTTGACAAGCTGTACAGTTTTTTTTTGTGACACGTGAACTAATTTGAATTACAATTAATTTTTAATTCAAAACCCCAATTCAGATTTAGAATTTGAATTAGAATTTAAAATTCAATTCTGAAGAGAGCACAACCCTGCAAGAGGCAGCACGGTTTTACAGATAAAATCGTGTTATTGTTATGAGAAAAGAGACAGTGATGGGCAGATTGAGCAATCATAGTTTTAGGACAGCAACAAATAATAGATAAAAGCCGTCCAGTCCACAAATGAAGACATATGTGGTGTCAGAGACATCATGGAGCTCATTTGTGATGTGAAGGACATCGCTCTATCACCACTCTTCTCTGAGAGCGAGTAGGCCTGTATGATGACACTAACAAAAATGAGTTATTGCAACACGGCAAAACAGATGTTGACCTCTTGTGCCCCCCCAAGCAC